ATGGGCTTTGTATCATGACTGACAGGCAACGATGTGACTCCCAGCCATCCATCTGTCAGGGCAGTGCCTTCCTGGTGGTGCCATGTCCTTCCTGTTCAGCAGCAGAGAAATTGAGGTATGGTCTGACCCCTATGGGAAGATTTGCTTGTAGGTCTTCAGTAGAAATGCACAGCAACCAGCAGGTTGGGATTGTTGACATGATGGTTTGAAATGGTCTTGTCTGGGAGGGATGGAGAGGTGCTCACAGCACAGTGAGCAGTGAGTGGAGTGGAAGCAACCTAATGTGTGTTGTACTTATGCAGCCTGGCTCAATTAGGATGAGTTATGGTGTCATGTCATACTACATGACCAAATTTCATAAATATTCTGAGCATATACCCATATTGCCTAATTTCAATTCTTTTGTAATAAATTCATTGAATCTGCCTAATGTTATATAACTAGTATTTTTTCATGATGTAAGTGGTATTTGCTAAAATATAGTTGATTTTTTTAAAAAAAGACTTTGCAGTAGCCGGGTTGGTGCATGTAGGTTTAGTGCTTGCACCTTGTTTATAGAGTTGGCTGTTATGTTTAAATACTGTCCATATTTCACCTGATGCCAGTGTGGCTACTCTTTTTTTTTGCCAGGCTCTTTATTTTCACTTAGAATACTGTGAGCATTTTAAATAATTCAGATAATTTTTAAAAAACCCTCAAATTAGTTTCTTTTGATGGAAGAAGTATGCTCATTCACATCATATGCTTGATTTTATTCCTAACCATTAGTTCATAGGAGCTTTTATCCAGCTTACACATTTTCAAAACGGATTTTCAGTTCTAAATATTCTTTAAGGAAAATGCTTTATTAGTTATTTTGGTAGAAGAATTGGGCAGTGTGGGAAGAGGGCTAGAAGAGATACTGTTCATTGTAAACTGTAGAACTTTTAAAGTTTTGTTCCATTGAAATATACTTCTTATTCAATAAATTGATAACAATGAAAAAATGCTTTATTATCTCTGTAGATAGAAAAATTTCTATTCACTGCAGCACTGATATAGAATATGCCCTAATTAATTTTCAGGTTTGCTCCCAACAATTAAGACTAGCCAGAGATCTTAAAGACTGTGACCTCTGAGTGAACTTGGTATGCCAGGCCTTTTGCCTACCACTGAATTCTTTCTGGACCATTTTGTGACCTACTGTGTTGCTACACACACTCAGTCTGCCTTGTGTAGAGTAGTGATTTCACATGCATCACCATTTGGACACTGCCTGCTCCTTTGAGTTCAAACTCCTGCTCCCCCAGCTTCTTTGGAAACAAAGCCACCCCAGCGACTCCTTAATGAGTATGCTCACTGGTATGAATCCCCTTTCTCTGCCAAATGAACATGTTTTCTTAAATCCCTGGAAGTTTGTTTTTAAAAATATTTCGCTTTTGTTTGTGTGTGATACTGGGTATTGAACCCAGGATGTTCTACTACCGAGCTCCATTCACAGCTCTATTTTTCATTTTGAGACAGAATCTTGTTAAGTTGCCCTGTGTTCCTCCTGCTTCGGCCCACCAAGTAGCTGAAATTGCAGGTGTGAGCCTCCACATGTGGTATTTTATGACACTCTTTGAAAGGTTACTACATAGGGAGCAACTGCACAGGTATCTCAGGACTGTTCCCTGAAAGTGGCTTCAACAGTCTGGGTGCCTATGAGAGTGCTGAGTCCCATCCCATGTTCCTGCCGTTGAGTCATCTGCATGTCATTCCATGCACACTGGAATTCTAGGACACAATAAGGGTCAGGCCTGTTCTCACACAGTTCTAGTTGACAGTGTGTTCAGGCCACACAACTGCTCTGCAAAGGACTAAGAGCTTGCTGTGTTGCTACCCATGCCTTGGTGTGTGGTACATGGTGCCTCACCTAACCAATCTTTCTGGAAAAAACTAGTTTGTCAAGCTAATAGGATATCTGTCCTCAACATGGCTCTCAGGGAGTGTCATGTAGCCTTAGGGAAAGGCTCTGTTTCTTTGCTTCTTTCCAGCCTCTAGTTGTAGAACCAAGTCAGGCCCGAGTATAATCCTGACATTAAATACCTTTACTTGAACATTTCCCCGTAAGAGGGAGCATGCTCCTGGTCCACTCTTTTCAGTGAAATGGATTTCAGACTTCTGTTTTCCAGAACTTTCAGAGGAGAAATACAAATTTATTAAGACAGCATGTTTGTGGTAATTTGTTACAGCGACCACAGGAAACTAGGTAAACCCATTTTGCTACATTTAACTCTTTAAAGAAAAGCCAGGTTTTAACATTTCATTTAAACAATGGTCAACTCTTGCTATACCACCAATTTATGTACAACCAAAATCCATCTTTATTTTAAACCAGAACTATTATTAATATCTTTCACTGCTATGTGCCAACAAATTGATTCATATTTCAATGGCTCATATTTCAAACAATGAAATAATGAACGATTAAAGTGCTGTAGTGACCACTTTTTCCTAGCACTACGAAATAATCATCGTCTGCCTTGGGATTAAGTTTAATAAATAGCACAGTGCATACAGATATTTACAACAGTTTTAAAGACAGAGATTCTATTCGTGTAGTCCCAACAAGAACAACAAATTGGTGTTGGCATGAACTGTTTATACATTCTTGGGTACAGCTGTTTTGAAAGTAGACTTCACTTGCAGTCTTAAAAAAATGTCCTGCTATTCCCCCAAATGTGCTTTAAGTCCAGGGGAATTACTTGGTGTCAATGTGTAGCAACTGCTCTCTGCCATTTATTATCAGGGACTTTAACTCTCCGTCTTCTTCCACTTCCACTCTTTCCTGGCCATTCTCAATGATTCTTTTGGTGGTGACTTTTTTGCCATTAACTATTTCGGTGGAAGTTGACATGGACTTGAAGCTTCCTGTCCCACCACTGCCACAAGACATGGAGAAGGAAGAAAGGCCTCCATTTTCAAGGGAACCAAAGGAAGTAAATCCTGTATCAAAAGAAGAAAAACCACCCCCAAAAGCTGGGAAGCCACTGAAGGTAGAGAAAAGGGGTGCGGACCCTCTGCTTCCCCGGGAGCTCCTCCGACCCCCAAAAATGTTCTCAAGGGGGTCTCCGAAGAAGTCAAACGAAAAAGGGTCCCGGCCGCCGAAGAACTCCTTGAAGACCTCAGCCGGGTCGCGGAAAGTGAAGACGAACTGGAAGGGGTCCTCGAAGGTGCCTGCGCCCGCGCTGCCGCCGTCCACGCCGGCCTCGCCGTAGCGGTCGTAGACGTCGCGTTTCTTGGCGTCCGACAACACCTCGTAGGCCTGGGCCACCTGCTTGAATCTCTTCTCGGCCTCCTCCTTGTTCTCCGGGTTCTTGTCGGGGTGCCACTTGAGCGCCAGCTTGCGGTACGCCTTCTTGATGGCCTCCGAGGAGGCCTGCCGGGGCACACCCAGCACCTCGTAGTAGTCCACCATGTTGGGCGGCGGGCGCGGCCCGTGGCCAGGGCACGGGCGAGCGGCGCGGGGGCAGCAGGGGCACGCGGCCGAGTGCGGGCTGCAGCGAGGGCGGCCGACAAGGGCGTCCCTTATGACGTGGCCGCCTCTCATTGGCCGAGGCCTCCGTCGGTGCCGCATCCCAGAATGCTGTGCTTGGGGCCTGTGCCCACCGCTGGAGGAGGCGCTCTGTGACGCCCCACTCCCGGGCGTGGAGGCCCCGCCCACAGCCCCGCCCACAGCCCCGCCCACTCGGACCTGCCCTTGGGGTGAGAATAGACCAGGAGCGTGACCCGCCCTGGAGAGAGAGGGGCGAGCCCTGGCCGCTCCGGAGATGCCGTTTAACACTCCTCTGTGCGTGGAGCCCTCTGCCCCAGCAGGGTGAGGGCCTTGAGGGAAAGGGTAGGTTGGTGGACCCTGGGTGGGGCGGTCATGTGACTGCGGCGGACTGCTGTCCTCAGGACCCGTTGCTTTACTGTGACCGTGTTGTGTCTAACATGTATAAGAAATTGAAACTGAGAATTAAAAGATGTACTCATTAGGCAATAATAACGACCCTTGGCACGCTGGCGTAAATCCCATTCATATGAGAAAATAGCCGTTTTTCCAAACAAAATAATCCCGTGAGAAGAGTGGCATCGTTTTACATTTTTCACATCTCGTTTTATTATCTGACTTAATAGAGAGTTGTATTTTCATGTCTTCTTCTGCATTCAGTTGTTTTGAGGTTGGAAACCTTTAATTATCTCCCCTGTATGCTTGTAAAACAGTAAAAAAAAATCAGCATTGTTGTCAGAGCAACATTTTTTTTTTTTTTTTTTTTTTGTGGAGAATGGAGGGTGTCTTGCCAAGTTGCTGAGACTGGTCTGGACCTCCTGCCTCAGCCTCTGGAGTAGTTGGGATTACAGGTGTATGCTACAGGCCCCTCTAGGAAATAGTTTTGACTTTGTAAAATTCCCTTTAAAAGTTCTTGGGGGATCCCCAAGGATCCCCAGCCCATAGTTTGAGAATCACTGGTCTAGTAAATCAAGATCTGTATAATCTGTGTGCCATCTTTATAGTACTGGGGTAAACTTGGGATGCAGAGATTAGTTCCACTGAAACTACTAGATCATGATGGTTTTCTTTTTGACATTTCTTGATATCTGAGCTCTCTCAATTTTCTCTCTGTTCTCTTTTTGGGCACAATATTCCTGCTTTGATTAGTTGTGAAGCAATACATCAATAAAGGCTATTTAGTTCTAAGGGGAAAATGATTAACCAATGAACTTTCTAAGATTTCAACATGAAGGAAAATGAGTGGAACTGGGTGCATTATCTCTCCAGAACAAATTGCCAACTTTATATCACATTGAGTAACACAACTTGAATTCCTGGACTTGGCACTTAGTAAGCACACAATAAACATTAGTAGACAACTGTTCAGGAGTGAAGTCCAGTATGAACAAAGCAACTTGGGAAAGTACACAACAGGTTTTGGGAAGGGCAAATGATCCAGGATGGCTGGAGAGCACACAGCAGAGGGAAGAATCAAGTAGAAGAGCTAGAGAGGAGGAATGTGCTTAGGCAGATGGTCTGGGTTCATTCTAGGATGTCCTGAAGGAAAGACTGTAGAGTATGAATGTTCTTGTGGGTCTTAGGAAGCTGTTGAGCAAGGTGCCAGCAGTGGTGTGGTGGGCAGGGCAGGGAGTGGCTGATGCTGTGAGTCACACTCAACAGCTAATGGTTGAAGGGACTGGAGCCTGAGGCTGCTCCCAGGGGAGCCAGCAGAAGGGGCTGAGAGGTGGTGAAAGAATCATCCATATTCAGCACCTGCCAGCTGGATGTGGGGCCTAGAGCAAAGGGAGAGGGTAGTTGAGCTACACAGAACTTTTACTGAGTGCAGACTGTCTAAAAGACTGTGGATGGGTGCCTGGGTGAGACAGTGATTCCTAAATTGAAATCTTGCCTGTAAGGAATGTAGATACTTATGTACAGTCTAATAGCAAGGACAGATCTACAAACTGGTGAATAAGAAAGGCAGAATAGAAGAGAATGCTGCAGAGGTTTGAAGAAGACAGATTTGTTTCCCATGGAGGGTCCTATAGATGATCTGCAGGACAATGGATATGTTTATGTTGTTCCTTTAGTAATAAATCCCTCCATTTTGGTCATATTAAAGGAATTCAGAGTGCCCCAAATGGTGGGATTATTAACTTCTAGCTTCAGTTTAAAAAGGAAAACACTTCCTTGTGGGTTCCAGGAAAACTTTACATGAACACTTCACTCTTCAATAGCCCCCAGGGAAAGAAAATGTTACTGTCCTGTTTTTCTTCCGTGGCCACCAGGGCACATCTCACTCTGCCCTCCAGCTCTCTGGTTGTAAATTTGTCTCTGCCTGCTGGTCCCCTCCTCACAGGCAGAGTTATTTCTACATTGGTTTTCTGGCTGTCCTCTGGGCAGAATGCCTAGCACACAGTAGTGCTCACATGTTCCATAAATATTCAGTGAATTGGCAATGGGATTTAAGTGTCAGGTTTGCTCAGGTGCCAGGCAGAAGTTTTTTTGGGTCACTCAGCCATGGTTCTTAGAGTGGTCATGATGAATTAGGATTGCTTGCCATAAAGATTAGGACACATATTTGCTGATCAGGGAGAGTTGTAGTCTCAAACCTTCTCAAACCTAAAAAAACTCCACGATCTAGAGGTGTAGCTCAGTGGTAGAGCACTTGTAAAGCCTACATGAGGCCTGGGGTGTCCCAGTACTGCATTGAAAAAAAGAGGCCAAGGCTCTGCATGATTCAGAAAAGTCATAAAATCATTACAGTGGCAACTGTGTGCCCCTTTGCTCCCTGTTATCTGTAGATGAACTCATAACATTGGGACTTTGGAAGAATTATCAATCTTAAAGTTAAGCTTGGACTGCAGGGTTCATGATTACAGATAAGGACACAACAAATAACGAAAACACTGCTACATGTTTTCTGCTCACCCAGAATTAAGAGTGTGGGAGGCAGAGAGAAGCTGCTGGGGCCCGAGTGTGCAGTTGTGTGCATTCCCATGGGAGATGGGGGATCTGTTAAGGAAGGATGGTGGCTTATAGAAAAGGGACCCTAAGTACAAGGAGGAGGGGTCCCTGTTACTGTGTCCCATGGGACACCAATTTAAAGTTGGCAGTTTCTCTATGACCTTCTTAGCACATCCCCAAGTATGGTTGGCAGTGATGTCCATGGTAGAAATGTTGGTATCTGTTTTCATCCAGGTCTTGTAGAGAAGAGCCACTGATCCCCACCCCCCAAAAGATTGCAGGGCTCAGTGGTGCCTGAAAGAATGGTTGGCCCATTCTTTGGGAGGGGCATTTTTGTTCAGCAGCTATTATAAGCTCACTCCCAACCTTTGCCTGGTCTCCTAGGACACCAGCTGGTGCTGTATGAACACTGTTCTTGGCCTTAAAGTTCTTCCACCTGCCTTTACTTCTCTCAGTTTGATTGGGCAATGACCTAAGATCACAGATTTTTCTTCCAGCTTCTAATTGCTTGTAAATTTCAATCCAGGGCTTGGCCATCATTATCTGGGAGCTGTTAGAGGTCAAAAGATCAGGGACTTGGAGCACAGACCCCCAGGGCCTGGGTCTTAGCCCTACCACTTATATATGCAGGACTCTGGCAAATTGATTTGCTTCTTTTAGCCCCAGTATCTTTGTAAAGTGAGAAAAATGCTGTCTGCCTCTACAGGACAGTTCTAAGTGATTGCATAAAGTGTTTTATGGGGGCACTTAACAGTGCTTGGCACATAGGGCACACTCAATAAGTACAGAGTTTTATTATTGTTTTGTTCACCTGTCCCCTTTGCCTTTAATGCAGTTGTTGGAGTTTACCCTGGACCTTGGGCCAGTGCCATGAATACAATTGAACTTGCTTATCTATTTTGATTTCCTATTTGTCAAATATCCCCTGACTGTCTCTCTGAGTGAGTACAAGTCTGTCTTTGGAGAAGCCTTCTGTGCATACCCTCTCTAGTGGATTTCCCTTCCCAGTTGGTCTCTACCCTAGCATGACCCCCTCCCTTGATCCACATCATTAATTTCTTTCTAGTACATTTCACAGCCTCCAAGGTCCCTGTTTATCAGTTTAGATCATGAGTCTGTTCATCTTGATGGAGCTTAAAAATGAAAAGCTAATAAAAGTGGTCAGGCAGAGCCCCAAGGGAGCAGTGGAGAAGGGCATTCTTAAAGTCTCCATGGGCCAAAGGTGGTTTGAGTGTTGCATTCCAAGAAACTTTCTCTTTCTGGAATGGAAGTCTACTTTGTTATGTAGTGGGCCTTTTTCTTCTGGTTACATGTTCTTGATCCATGAAAATAATAATTTAATGGATGCAAAGGTGCTGGAGATATTTTTCTTTCTGTGCACACTCAAGAATGTAATTAGAGGAAGGATTCTGGCCAGCTCAACTGTTGCTGCCTGTTAAGAAACCCTGTTAAGTAAAGCTCCACCCTCATCTCTGACAGCAAGCTTCCTGCTGACTTTGGAGAAGGAGGGCTTTAGTCATGTGACACTATCAAACATTAACTTAGTGTATGGATTGGCTACATGTGAGGTGTACTGCAGGCAGCAGAAGAGGTGGAGGCACCATGGCAGTAGTGTCCCAGGGCCCATGCGCACTTCTCTTGGGCTTGCTACTGTGTGTGCTCAACCCTTCTATATCCCATGCGGAGAAACTGTTGATAATCCCAGTAGATGGCAGTCACTGGCTGAGCATGGTCGGGGTCATCCAGCAGCTACAGAAGAGAGGACATGAAATGGTGGTCATAACACCTGAAGCATCAATTCATATAAAAGAAGCATCATTTTACTCCTTGAAGAAGTATCCTGTACCATTCCAAAGGGAGGACGTAGAAACCTCTTTTGCTGAACTTGGGTTTTATGCTTTTGAGAATGTGCCTTTCCTGCAGCACGTGGCCAAAATGTATGAGAAAGCCCAAAAGGACTCTGCCGTTCTTCTGTCTGGCTGCTCCCACCTACTACACAACAAGGAGTTCATGGCCTCCCTGGTGGAGAGCGACTTCGATGCTGTGCTGACAGACCCTTTCCT